TTTATATCCCACAAGAGTGAAATCATCTGGTTCTTGTCCTTGTCTGACTTATTTTGCTTAGCATGATACTCTCAAGATGATGTATTATGGAACTGTACACTTGAAACTTATATGTTATTAACTGACGTCACCCCAGTAAACTTAATAAAATTTTAAAAGAAAAAGAAAAATATGCTAAAATATGAAAAAAAAGTGAACCAAGTTCAAATATGAGCTCTGCCAACTTCTCTTAGTGACCTGAGCACATGACCTAACCATGTATCAGGCATTCTAGGCGCAAATGTTTTTTACCTTTAACTCCCACTCCTTTGGTTCATTCAACAAATAGTTTACCTCCATTACAGCATAGTTCCTGAGTATAAATCAATAAAACAGAATTATGAGTGCCTGAAATTTTCCAGCCAGGGAAAGTGAGTTGAACAAGTAGATGACATCCCTGTTTTTACAGAGCTCACTGACTTCTAAACGACAAAGACAAGTAAACAGACAATTACAATATAGTGTGTTTAGTCCTTTGAAGTGGGAGTACAGGGAACACATCAGTTTGGTACCTAAAAAAACTTTAAAGTATCAGGGAAGATTCCGTAGGGTGTCTCTAAGCTGAATCCTGAACAACAAGTAAGCATTAGCGTGCGAAGAGAGGACAGGAGTGTTTTTGCAAAAGCAGCAGCATGTGCTGAGGACCCAACACAAAGGAGCACCTGCCACACATTTCCGGCAGCAGCGGCAGCCTCCAGTAGCTGGAGTGTGCAGTGCAAAGGAAGGAGTGAAGATCAGAGAGAGAAATGCAGCTCACAACACGCGATCTATGTAAACCTGTCAAAGAAACTCATATTCGATTCCGATGCGATGGGGGAAGGATGAGAGATGCTGGTGAGAAATGACAGAAGCTTCAGCCAGGATGGTGGAGACAGGGGTGAGCAGTCGCTGTAGAAGACCATAGGGTTAAGGGACTTTTGCATTTTTGTGTTTTATTAGTATGATTGTTTTAAGGTAGGAGAGAACTTATTAAGTGCCGATGGAAAGGAGCTTCAGCAAGAGAGGTAAAGTTTCAGGAAGAGAGATCTCTAAGAGAAGCGTAAGGGCGCATACTGAGAGGATAAAGCACGGTCTAGATGGGTCTAGGCGCATTTGTTATGGAAGGGCTGATGACACTGCGCTGGTTGGCGTCTGTGTTCTCTGAAGTCGTTGAGGTCTTCTACTGACCTTGAGGTGATGATGGTAACACTAGCCATTTCCTTCGTTCAGCAGATTTTTATCGAGGGCTTGTTTACTTTATGGAGACAGTAAATGGGATAATGTGATTCCTGCCTTCACAGCACCCCTGTCTGCTGCTCAGAGACAGACCATTAAGCAACGTGTTACCTAATTGTTGAATTAGGATTATTAAGCATTATGAGGGAGATGTAAAAGATGCTCTGATAACATATAAATGAAGAACATGGGCTACAGGGTCAGGAGGGATTCTGTCGAGGAAGCATTGTTTGAGCTGAGCTCTGAGGTGCGTTTCAGAATTGCCTGGGGCTTCGGGTGAAAAGGGGAGCAGCTGGAGCATATGCTTCGAGGCAGGAGGACGAGGCCAGGCTCAGATCACGCAGGGCTGTGTAAAGATTTTCATCTCTTTCAGAAGAGCCACTGGAAACTTCATTTCTAAGAATGTTAAGCAAGGGAACAAGGGGATAGGACGAGCTCCTTAAAAGACCTTTCTGGCTGCTGGGTGATGATGGATTAAAGTGGCTGGGGAGCAACTGTGGGACAGCCACTAGGAAGAGGCAGTTTTAGGAGAGGCAAAACGGTGGTATCTTGGACTAGTATGGCGCAGTGGCAATGGCAATCATAGATATGAAAGATATTTCGGGGATAAAATTGACAGCCTTTGGCAATTGTTTGCTTATAAGAGTATGTAAAAGAAGTGACAGAGAGGCTCCCAGGTGTGACTAGAGAAGAGAATGGAGGATTGAAATTACCAAAATAGAGATCTAAGAAATATAATTGATAGGGACAACAGAATAATTGCTGGAGAGCAAGAAGGTCTTAGCGTCTATGTGGAGAGCATGACTATATGGCATTACAGCACCAGGGCTGATGGGTTTTCTGCACTCAGTAGTCAGGTGTGGATGTGGGGGGTGTGGGGGGGCACTGGATTGAGCTTAGACGGGCGGTTTCTTTGGCAGGTGTGATCAAAGGACAACGTGTAAGAGATCTGAGGCTATTAGCAAAAAGAGTAGAACACATGATGGCCCGTGGATGTGAAGACATGAAAACCTGCTAGATACAGAGAAAGCAATGAAAGCACAGAGGCCCTTGTGATAATAGGTGCGGGAGGAATTACTCAGAGCTAAAAGGATCAGAGATTGAAATCATATTGGGAAGCTCAAATCAAATTTTTAGTAGGAAATACTCCCTAGATGGCAGAGTCAAGGTTTGCCCAGTAAGTGGTTGAAACGGAGAAAGGTCACTAGAGGTCAGGGATCAGGGAAGTAAGTGGCTAGCATTCTGAAGGGTGTTCGCATGGGTGCTGAGGTTTCCCGCGATGGTGGTAGGATTGAGGTACAGACAGTGAGTGACTTAAGAGCCAGGCGCTTAAGTCTCAAAGCAGTGCTTCTCAACGGAGCGGTACTACTCACTGGGGAGTGTTATGGACGTGAGTTTTTTGTTTTGTTTTGTTTTTTAAATACAAAAATGGCTGAAGGAGCCAGAGAGGTAGATTCCACATTTCTACAGAACAAAAATCCGATGGGTATCCTACATGACTTCCAAACATTACGTTAGATGTTTAGGGACTGAAATGATGACTCAACATATAGTGGGGTTTCAAGATAGAGGGTCTGCCTTCTGTGACACCGAAGCACCCCACAGGGAATTACCGTTACACTGCACTCATGTGTAAAGGGCAGGTCATTTACAAAAATAATATTTCCTTAACTTTGATAGTCCTCACATGTCATCCCTTTCTCAATTGAGGCTGTCTCCATTTTTCCTTCTCACAGCCCAGTAAGTCTCATCTGTGGTTTCTATCCAGTTGCTAGTCCTTATTCTAATGTCAACATGTACCTTTGGGCTCTCATTTTCCTGTACTTTCTTGTACAGAATGGCTCCTGATCTTTTTATTACTCTTCAATCCAAACTTATTTATTATAAGTATGTGTAAACATCTGACTTCTTTCGGTTTTCTACTCTGGTCATGCCCAAGCATTTGCATATTGAAATAGGTTGTTTTATCATAACTTACTTTTTTACCTTTGTATCTATTAAACTAAGGCCTTATATTAATTTGGAGGGAGGAAGTATATGTACTAGTAAGTTATATTAGATATGAAATGCATTTAGGATGCAAGTAAGATATTATGGAGTATTTACTATGAAAAGGGGGCTTTGAGAACCACTTGTCTTGGAGAATAAGCAGGGGAAGTTGCCAGAGAATTGGAACTTGACAACAGTTTGTGGAAAGACACGAGGTGGTAGTGAATGACCAGCAGTGGGGCAGGTCTTTGCTACAGAGTGAGGGGCCTGGAAGTAGCAGAGTGAAGAAGGCACAGTCTCCAACTCTAGCGTCTTAGTCTTTGCTCACACTTTTCCCTCCACCTGGAATGCTCATCCTACTCTCTCTCCACCTACATGGTCTTCATTGTCTGGCATAAAACCTTATTCTTTTCAAAGCTCGGAAGAGGAAGTAGGCAAGTGAGTGAACGCTCGAATCCCTGGATTCTTTGCTAGGCACTGCACGTAAGATTTCATTTATTCCTCCTAGAAGGAAGCATAATTACTTATCTCATAATTACTTTCAGAATTAGACTGAAGTCTAACCAAGCTCAAAGACTTTAACTTGTCCAGTGTCTTAGTCTTTTCCAGCTGCACAGGAAAACACCACAGGTTGGGTGGCTTATAATCGACAGAAATTTATTTCTCAGTTCTGGAGGCTGGGAATCGGAGATCGGAGTGCCAGCATGGTGGGGCGAGGACCCTCTTCCAGGTGACAGATGTCTCCTTGTATCCATCCTCGCATGGCTGAAGGGGCTACGGAGCTCTGTGAGGTCTCTTTTATAAAAGCACCAATCCCTTTCATGAGGATTTCACCTCCTAGAAGCCCAAACTTCTAACAGTATCACATTGGGCATTAGGGTTCCAACATGTGAATTTGGGAGGTGACACACACATTCAGACCATAGTACCTGATATCACCCGGTGAGGAAGTAATGAAGGTGGGACTCTAACTTAGGGTGGTCTGGCTCTACAGCTTGTGCTCTACCCAGTGCATGACATCATCATTAAATAGACCCTCACTGGGGAGTTGTGAGAAGCTAGCCATTTAGGGCTTGTGCCTTTCTAACTTTTGAGTTGACTCATATTTAAAGCTGCTCTTTGTTTTTGGCCCCAGCCTCTTAAACATTTTGTGTGACTCTTTCAACCCAGTTACTTTCTTTGAAAATGGAGTTTTCATCTTTGATTATTTTTGATTCTCCATAGCATCTACTGTATGCCTTGTTCATTATAGGTGTTTAGTATATGTATGCATTGATTGATTTAAATATGTAATGTCTATGCAAGTTTTCAAATGTTTAGGGACCAACCGAAAATACACAGTATAGAAGAAGACCTTGACAAATGCAAGTGCAGCTGATGGTTTTGCCAATTTAAAATGAGTCCTTAGATTTGCATCTAAAATAAAATTAAGATTTAAAGATTTTCTTTTATTAAGATCTAAAAACATTTAAATTGAAGTGATTGCTATCTAGACTGTGCAATTCCATTTTTTTAGGTGAATGTACTTCTGCATATCATGATCTTTTTAATGGAGAGGTGGGGATGAAAATTTTTAAAGTAAATAAACAACAAAAAAACTAGCTTTTTCTTGTGTACAACTCGAGATAATCTCTGTACTTGGGACGCATGTAAAGTTGGATGCATGTTTTCAGTCTGTCCTGTGGATTCGTGTTCATTATAAATATGTTTATATAGTGTTTTGTTTGGTAATGGATTTATATTATCTTGTTTTTCAGGTCCTGTAGGAGTAGGTTTGAATGAACTGAAACGAAAGCTGCTGATCAGTGACACACAGCACTATGGTGTGACAGTGCCGCGTAAGTCTTGTCCTATTAGATGCTACTACGACGGACTGGTCAGTACTTACACAGCACGTTCAGTGCCAACCACTGATTAAGCATCACCACCTAGACCTCACAACAGCCCTATGATATATATAGCGACATTATCCACATTTGACACAGGAAGAAACTGAGGCACAAGGGTTAAGGGATTTGCCCCAAATTATACAGATCACTGGCTAGATATTTGTTAATCATAGCTTTCCTACTGTCAATTTTTACAGTGAATTTTTATACACATATGACATCAAATTATTATTTACAAATTTTCTTCTAATGGAGGTCTATTCCTTTTCCTAAAATAAGTGCTAATGTTTTCCAGAGCTTTTCCCCGGCTTTAAGATTAGAAGGACCAAAGCACAGAAAGCTGAAGGGGGCTTTTTTATAATATAAACTTTCTTAATTACTTTTTATATGTAGTAATTGGCAGATAGTGTTAAATGGGCCTTTCATGGCCATATAATCCAAATATGGTAGGCTTTTCAGTACACAGAATTACATCTATTTTTATAAAAGTGGTTTTCACAGGCATTCTTACAAATAAAATGTGATTCTGGAAGCATTTTGATCTCCAGAATAAATGCCATTTGACTACTTAATATGTTGATGTTAGAAAGCTGTTTAAAAGACTAAATTGAAATGTTGGCTTTTTCAAGTGGTTTTAGTACTGTTTTTTTTAAAATTTTTTTTATTTTTAAAAAAGCCGTTTGTATATTGCCTTTAGCAATGTTCTCTAGTTTTGGAAGAGTTCAACTTTATTTTAAAATTATAGTTTTCTATTACCTCAAGTTACTCCTTGTTACTACATTTTTCCAAATTATTGTTTGTAATCATTTTCAGCCATAAGTTACAGGACTGAAGGTTTCCACCAACCGAGATGAAAGTAAAGGAAAATGTGGACACGTGAAATTAAAGTTTTTTTTTTTTCACTTTAATTATTTGCTTCTCTTACAAAAGCTGAGTTGCAATATACAGGTAATTAGAAAATTTTACAAAACATGTCCTTAGTTAAGCTTACAGGTGAGCAATTACAAAAGAGGATGGAAAAATAGATTACAAAGGAAAATGACTTTATTAATTTCCTACTGTGTATTCATCTCTTTGATTTGTCTTAATTTTGTGCTCCCAGCGATAGTCAAGATGGGTGATATCTCCATTTCATCGAGGGAAATGGGATAGAGAGGAAACTCTGACTCAGAGTCCCATAGGTGATAACTGCACTTGAATTTGAAACCAGATTGTGTGTTACCACTTTTCATTTTCTGCCTCCTGTCACTATATAGTCCTTTTGAACTACAGATTCTCTTTATTGTAGCCCAGTTAGTAGGAAAAACCAATTTCTTTTGAAGATGAGAAATGTCATGAGACTATCTATCCAACATAATCCTCTCTTAGAGTTTTCGTATTACTCAAGGACCTGGGGCAAGGCACGTTGGCCTCAGTTTATCCAACTGTTAAAGTCATATTTGCCTCTGAAGAATTGACAACGCTCAGACAGGTTCTGGGGCTGAAACTCTCCAGAGAAATCTCCAAAGTAGTAATTTTCGACTCTAATTCACTTTTAAACAGTTAATGTCAAAAGATCCCCTCATAGCAGTGTTTTCCAGACTTGCCTGATGATAAGAATCTCTTAGGGGGTCTTCAAAAGAGATTCTCCTTGAGACCTGACAGAATGTCTGAAAATCTGTATTTACAGCGAGCATCCCAGGTGATTCATAATATCACATGTTTGGAAAGTATAGCTATAGCACCAACAGTGATTTAATTAATTACAGAAGCCTATATTTTAAAAGCAATTTTGGAATTTTAGATTGTTTTGCTCTGTACAATACTTTAGGTAGAGTCTTGATTATTTAGAGAAAACGTATTGCTTTGATTATACCACTAGTATTCTGTTTGATGTTTAACTCTATAATTCTCCTTTCCAAAACATGTACTAAATATCCACCAGAATGGCTGAATTGAGAAAGACGTGGAGCAATGGAATTCGCACACATTGCTGGTGGGAGTTTAAATTAATTTGACCCCTTTGGAAACCTCAGGGGCCGTATCTACTAAAGCTGAGCAAACACCTTACAACTCAACAATTCCATCTTAGTACAGTACAGTACAGTGATTCCATCCTAGTACATACCCAACAGAAATGCATGTGACGTGCTGGCAATTTTCTGCTGCTTGTTAGAGTTCTGGTTACATGAGAGTGTTTGGTCTCTGAAAATTCATCAAGCTTACAGGTGAACTTTTCTGTCTATATCATACTTCAGGTTTTTAAATGTTAAGTAGAAATACTTGGTAGTTTCATTAATGGTAGTTTGCTGATGTCCATTTTCTACTCTGGACAAGTACGACAGTTATGGAAGATTAATACCTTCCTCCAGAGAAGGAAGCTGAGTGATGGTTACTTGGGACCTCTCTGAGCTATATCTGCTATTTCTTGTGACTCTACAATTATTTCAATTAAAAGAAAAGCTCTTTGCTAAATCAGGGAAATGTTCTTGCTCTTGAGCTAAATGGCTGAACAAATTACACGATCTTTTAAAATTATCCCTAAAGCCATATTAAACATTCAGAGCGGCTTTTAAAGAAAGCCAAAGCCTGTCGCCTTCTCTGTGGGAAATTTCATCCTTGATAAGTTGCACCGATGTTGTTTTAAGGCTAGAGGTTATCGTCGACAAATCTAAACGAACATGAATATAACCAGTCTTTTGAAAGGGCCTCTCAGTAAATTAGTTAACAAAAAGCATTGCAGTAGATATCAAACACTTGATAGATTCCAAGGTCTTGATAGCCTGGATTTGGCACTCTCCGTCAACTATATTTGTTTATCGCTTTCTGTGGTTTTTCAGGAAGGCATATATCACAGTTAAGTGTTTTCATAGGTTTCTCAGTACTCGTGTTCCAGAACACTTCCTTGTCCATAGGATATCTCACTTGAGATTTCTAAAAAACATATATTGTAAACTAGGGTACCAGTTAAAAAATTTTTTTTTTTCTTAGCTTATGGTGCCAATTATTCTGGGACTTTGTTGGGAACAGGGAAAAAATGTGGTGTGTGACACATATTCGTTTGGTGTTTGTCTTAAGCTCAGTGAGCTATGGTGGAGTAGCAGCCTGCACTGTGGCTGCTTTGCCCACCTTTCCCTTCGAATTCCCTTCTAATAAGAACTTTCAGGTCCCTCATTCAGTTATTCCTCACTGCTACAGAGTTTGTGAGGTCCCCGTGATATCTCACTGCAATTAGACATTACAATTCTTCATCCACAAAATTATATTGGACCTGGATACCTGGCGTTGATCACGATAAGCAAACAATTTAGTTGCAGACATGTTACCTTTTAAGTGTGTTAGGCAGTGTCAGAAATGTCTTGTCCACTTTATGTGGTTCTAAATATTTTTATCCCTCCCAGTGTGTCAGGGCAGTGATCATTAAATGTGTGTTCGAGCTTTTCACAGTATTCTCCCATTAAAAGTGAATAAAGGCAACCTTTTCTCAATCCATGAGAAACCAGTTAATGCACAGAAAATTCTGTTTTGATTTTCAATAATACATTTTTCTTAAGCCTACTGTTTGTTAAAGGAACATCAGTGAACAATAACAAAATGGATTAGGTAATAAGTGAATATTCACCCTAAATTCGAATCAGGGTATCATACTAATTTTAATATCTTCTTATTCTTAGATGCATATTGTGTACACTTAGTGAAGTACATTTTTCTGCTATGAAATTTATTCATAGCTTTTATGATAGATTTAAATTTATCAGTACTTCGTGTTGTTCTCCAAAGGTGTGACATTCCATAAAGGATAGCGTGACTTTGGTATTCCACTAGCAGAAGTATGAAAAACTGTTTCAGGAGATCTGAGTGTTATATTAAAATATGCTTGCTAACTAAACAGAGAGCAATTAAGTTTTGGCTATAATTGGGTTTTATAAATCCATTACTTTTTGTATTAGGTTACTTTTTCCCCACCTCTAACATTTTTCCTTTATACATTATTGAAATGTAATTTTAAAAACTGCACATATTTAAAATGTGCATTTAGATCAGTTTTAACATACATATGCACATGTGAAATCATCACCCCAATCAACTAATGAACATTTCAAGCTCCTCAAAAAATTCCCCTGTGCCCCTTGTAATCCATCCTCACTCATGTCCCCAGGCAACCACTGATCTGCTTTCTGTTGCTATTAGTTTTTCACAGATTAGTTTGAATCATCTAGCATTTTATATAAATAGCATTATACAGTACATTCCCTCCTTTTTTTGGTCTGGCTTATTTCACTCAGCAAGATAAGTTTGAGATTTACTCATGTTTCATAGATCAATAATTCATTCGTTTTCATTTCTGAGTAGTATTCTATAGTATGGAAATGCTACAATTGTTCATCCATTCACCTGTTGATGAACACGTGATTTTCCCTCATTTTGGCTATTACAAACAAACCTACAATAAGGTTTGTATTCAAGTCTTTTGATGAACATATGTTTTTGTTTTTCTTGGGTAAATAAGTAAGAGTAGAATGGCTGAGTCCTATGGTAGGTGTATGTTTAATTTTTAAAGAAACTATCAAACTGTTTCCCAACATGGTTATACCATTTTACAACCCACTAGCAGTGTATGTAAGATCCAGTTGCTCCACATCCTTGTCAACACTTTTGTGTACATTATCTGATAAATTTGTTACAAGTATTTTCTTCAAGTCTGTGGCTTGCTTTTTTCATTTTCTTAATGGTGTATTTCAAAAAAGCAAACGTTTGTAATTTTAACAAACTCTAACATCAATTTTTTTCTGTTTTGTTCTTTTTGTGTTCAATCTAAAAATCTTTTACTGTCTCAGTGTCACAAAGACATACTGTTTTTTTTTTCCTAGAGTTTTTGTAGTTTTAGGTTTTACATCTGATCTATTTCAAGTTGTTTTTTGTGTTATTTAGCATACTTGCCTTGTTCCTGATCTCAAGGGAAAACAATTCAGTGTTTTACCATTAAGTATGAGGTTGGCTCCTTGAGTCCCTTTATTTGTTTGAGGGCATTTCCTGTGATTCCTAGTTTGGTGAAACTTTTTTTTTTTAATTTTCTATTGTGAATGGGGGTTGGGTTTTTAAAAATGCTTTCTCTGCATACGTTGAAATAACCATGTGTTATCTACCATTTTGTTAATATGGTAAATTCCACTGATTTTCAGATGTTTCCACTGACATAATCTCTACTTGGTCATGATCTACAATTTTTAAAAAATATATATATTATTGAATTTGAATTCTAATGATTTAGTTGAAGACTTCTGCATCTAAATTTATGATTGACATTGATCTGTAATTTTCTAATGTCTTTGTGAAATTTTGCTCTTAGAGTTGTTCTAATATCATACAATGATTTAAGTAGCGATTCAGCCTCCTATTCACATAAATTGTTTAAGATTAGTGTTAATTCATCCTTGAATGGTTGGGAGACTTCATCAGCCATCTGGGTCTGGAGTTTTCCTTTGGGGAAGGTTTTTAAATAAAAATGTAAATTTGACTTATTTGATACAGGGCTATTCAGGGTTTTTGTTTCCTCTTGTTTCAATTTTGATTCATTATATTTCTCAAGAAATTCGTCCTTTTCATCTAAATTGTCAAATACGTTGGCATGAAGTAGTGCATAATATTCTCATCCTTTTTAATGTCCGTAGGTTCTGTGGTAATAACTACGTTTCATTCTTTATATTGGCAATATTTGTTCTCTTTTTCTTGACCAGTTTAACTAGGTTTTTAAATTTTCTTTAATGTATCTTTCTTTCCTTTCTATTTTAATTTCTGTTTATTACTGTCTCATACTTGCTTTGGGTTTACTTAGGTCTTCTCTGTCTAGCGATTTTTAAGTTAAACTTTCAGTCACTGATTTTAGATGTTGTAAGTATTTATAGCTATAAGTTTCCCGCTAAGCACTACATTATCTTAATCCCATAATTTTGATAGGTTGTATTTTCCTTGACATTTACTCACAGTATCTTTTCACTTCCTTTGATATTTCATCTTTTAAGCATCAATTATTTAGAAGTGTTATTTAATGCATATAAATATATATTTTCAGATATTTGAGATTTTCCTAGTATCTTGTTATTGTTTTTTAGATTATTTTATGGTTAGAGAATATACTGTTTGTGATGTGGATTCTTTTAAATTTACTGAGACTTTTTATGGTCCAGCATAGGATCTGTCTTTTGGCAAATGTACCATATGTACTTTAAAAGAATGTGTTCTGAAGTTATTGAATGTGGTGTTATATAGATATTAATTAGCCCCAGGAGATTGGTGGTGGTACTCAGATCACCCGTATTTTACATTTCGTATAGTTCTATTGTTGTTGAGAGACAGTCATTAAAATCTCTTCTGATTTTGAAATTGTTTCTCCACTTAATTCAGATAAACTTTGTTTCTGGATTTTGAAGCTTTGTTGTTATGTGTACACAAATTTATAGTTGTTATGTTTCCCTTTTATCATTATGAAATGTTCCTCTTTATCTCTGGTAATACTTTTTGTCTTGAAGTCTCTTTCATCTGATTTGAAAGTAGCCACTTCAGCCTTCTTATGCTTACTATTTACATTGTACAGCAGGTCCTTGAATAATGTCATTTTGTTCAACATCATTTAGTTATAACATTGATGATATGCCGTAAGAATTGAACTCTTGTTTATATCAGTTAGCCAATGGTAAAATTGGTTTTGTTATAAGTCACAGAACCTATCAATGACATTGAGGACTTACTGTATACTGTCTTCCATCTGTTTACTTTCAACTTATCTGTGTCTTTATATTTAATGTGTCTTATAGATAGCATGTACTAGGGTCTTGCTTTTACTCATTCTATAAATCTCTGCCTTTTAAATGGAGCATATATAAACCATTAACATTTCCTGAATTATGGAAATGACTGAATTTAAGCTACTGTTTTATTACTTGTTTTCTATTAATCATCTGTCTTTTCTTTTTATTCCCCTTTACTACCCTTTTTTTTATTTTGATCGTTTGAATATATTTTAGTATTCTGTTTTAATTTACCTGTTGGCTGAATGCTTATGTCTCTTTGCATTACTTTTTTAGTGGCTGCTCTAGGGATTACCATGTGCATATACCTAACCATTCACAGTCTGCTTAGAGTTAACTTTGTGCCATCTACCATAAAATTTAGAAACCTTGCAATAATATAAGTCCTTTTACCCCCACTCCTATCTTTTTGTGGTAGTTGTCAAATGTATTATATTTACATACATTGAAAACTCCACCAGATAATATTAAAACTTTTACTTTAAATCAGTCACATATTTTAAAGAGCTTAAGAGGAAAAAAACTAGACTTCTGTATTTGCTTAACTATTCTTTTTGCTGCTCTTTCTTCATTCCTGAAAAACTAAATTTTCCTTCTAAATAGTTCTTTTCATCCTAAAACACACGCCCACACACACACACACACACACTTCTAAATATTTCTTTTAGAACAGATCTGCTGATGAATTCTGTTAGTTTCTCTTCATCTGAGGTTTTATTTTTGTTGTTGTTTTTTGTTTTGCCTTTATTCCTGAAAGATATTTTGGTTGATCTTTTCTTTCAGTACTTTAAAGACATTACTTCAATGATTTGTTTTTGTGATTTATAAGAAATTTGTAGTCATTGAAATAATTATTCTCTTCCTTGTACTGTGTTGGTTTTTTTCTAGATGTTTTCAAGATTTTTTTCTTTGGTTTTTAGTAGTTTGGTTATGATGTTTTGAGGCATAATTTTCTTTGAATTTATCCTGTTTGGAGTTTGTCGAGCTTCTGAAAACTATAAAATTTATGTCATTAATCAAATTTTAGCAGTTTTTGTCCATTCTTTCTTCAAATATATATGTATGTGTGTCTATATATTGCCCCGATCTCTTTTCCCCTCTCCTTCTGGCATCCCAATTATACCTACATTAGACATCTCAGTTTTTTCACACAGGTTTTTCTTTGTTGCTCAGATTTTACAATTCCTATTGATCTGTTTTGAGGTTCACTGGCTCTTTTCTCTGTCATCTCCATTCTGATACTGAGCCTATCTAATGATTTATTTCTGTTGGATATTGTATATTTTAGTTCTAAAATTTTCATTTGTTACTATTTCTGTTAAGAATTCATATTTTCATTCCTTTAAAATGTGTTTTCCTTCACGTTGTGAAGCACAATTATAATAGTTGCTTTAAAGTGTTTGATAGTTCCAACTTCTGGGTCTCTCAGGGTTGCCATCTATTATCTTTCCCCTTGAGAACCGGTCATATTTTCTTGGTTCTTTTATATGGAACAATTGTAAGTTGCATTCCGGATATTATAAATGCAGTGTTGTCTCAAGAACTCTAAGAACTTCTGAAGAATGTTGATGTTTTACTTTAATAAGTAATCAGTTTATATTTAGACTGTAAGTTCGGTCTCATTTTCTGTGAGTTGTGGTTTAAATCTCATTTCAATTTTCTAAACTTCTGCTTTGTTGGTTTAGGTCTGCCCTGTCAGGTATTTAGGGACAAGTCTGAAACTTGTGTGCATAGTTCAACTCTCAGCTCAGTTCTAGCCTAACATTGGTGTGGGCGTGTTCTGTACTTCTGTTGTTCATGGGTTAGGCTGAGACTTGTGTATTCTAATCTCAGTTCACTTCTTCATATTTTGCTATGCTGGTTTGAGTCTGAGCTGCATGTGTATGTATAGCTCAGGGGTTATTCTTAGACTATTGTGGGTTCATACACAGAGTATTTCCTTCTCCAGCTCTCTCCCTTCCTGGATTCCCTCCACACACTTTAACTCACGGGGGCTTTCTCTGCCTGCCTCTTTAAACTAAAAAGTCAGGGCTTCTATTAGAACTTAGTCACACATTCCACTGCTGCTCTGTGAATGATCCCACCCTGAGGGCAAAGTTAAAAAATGAAAGTTAAACTCTTTCTCATGCAGACTGACTCCTCTCCACAATCTACCTGCTTTATTTATTTTCAAAGTTCTTGAAAGATAGTTATTTTGGGTCGAATTTTTAG